CACCCCCCCCGCACCAGGACCCCGCCGGGCCCCGACCCCCCCCGCCCCCTCCCTGTCGCCCCTGGCTCCTGCCACCTCCTCCACGACACCCTTCCCTTCCTCCCTCCCCTGGACGCCACAGACGGGCACCTGGGCAGTGGGACCCGGGCTGTGTGCCAGCTGTAGTACCCGACACCTCTTCTCCTCCTCCGCGGATGCCACTAGACCCACATGGCCCCAGCCCCCGTCACTTGAGCCGGGGCCTGACACCCACCCCCAAGAGCACGGGGGTGCGGAAGGGGGGGGACCGTGCCGCCTTCAAATACGCTGAACACGTCGCTTTCCCTGGCTCCGTCCTCCTCAGGTATGTCTGTGGGGTCGGTCCCTGCCCCAGATTCTTGGGACACCGATGTGAATTGGTGGGGGGCTGGGAGGGGGGCCGGGGACTTGGCTGGGCAAGGGGCAGCGTGTGGAGGGCTTGCTGAGGGCCTGCTGGGGGAGCTGGGTTTCTCCCGCCTGTTTGGGGGAAAGATCTGTTTGCTCAGGGACAAGCAGTGGCCCCGGCGGGGTTTCTCTGTGTGAGAGGGTGGCAGTCACGCTTGCAGATCCCCCTGCTAATTCCAGGTCAGGGCTCGGGGAGTGTCCTGCCCACAGAGGCACTGGCAGGCTGCCTGGAGGGGATTTTGGGATGTTTTCTCTGAAGCCCGGGTGGCTCACAAGGGCAAGGCAGGAGCTGTCATACACTGAGCTGTCTGCGTGGGAAGGCAGGGGAGCAGTGCTGCAGACGGCTCCGGCATCATGGGGTGGCACCTGCTGGGTTGGTGGGGCTCTCGGTAGATGTACCTGTCAGCCTCCTCCTCTGGCTTTTCCAAGCAGCCAAGGGGCTTCCCAAATCCCTCTCCACATCCTGCCGGCTGTGTTTCGGCTGCATCATAGCTGTAGGCTCCCCAACGTGCAGGACCACACCGGGGGAGGAGGTGAGCTGTGCCCAGAACCACGCAGGCACCTGCGACAAGGGACGGGCTCTGCTGCCTTTAATGCATGCCGGGGCTGGCAGGGACTACAGATCCCAGCATGCTGCTTCCTGCCTGCCTCCTCCCACACCCTACCTGGCAGGGTGCAGGCAGGGATGCTGTAAGCCAGCAGCGGTGCAGGCGGCTGAGGGGCATGCCCCAGGGGGGGCTGGGGGCTCAGCGCCGGGAGCCCCACCACAGCTGAAGCCCTGGGAGAGGTGCCGGAGCACCCTATGCTGCGCCGCCCGGACTGGAAAAGGACAAGGCAGGCCTGCAGCTTCTCCAGGGCGGCTAATCCCGCTCTGCCCCAGGAAGAGGGGGGAGGACCGGGGAGGGAAGATCCCTTCTCAGGGGTCCTGGGGCTGC